GGGTAATCACTATGTTTACGCAACATTTACCTGAGAGAACGGTCATCCCCCTCAATGTCAAACCGTGGAATTAGCCAAGGTCATTGATGGTGCATTAACGCCCTTAGGGGGTGGTCATTAATGTGTAAGTGCTAGATATTTGTTGGCTAATCACAGTCCAATTAACACAGTGTTTTAGAACTTTATCGGACCTATAATGCCATCAATTTGTAGGGTTAACAACCATGATTTGTTGCTAGAAATCCAGGAGATATACTGCCAACACGGCCTGTTCTGTTTTCCATGGAAAGGAGCCAGCAGCAATGTGACATCCAAATTTACACTGAGCCTTCCTTTTCCTAGAAAATCAGGCCAAAGTTCAGGCAAAAATACACAATTATCCTGAAATGCAGAGAGGGAGTGCATGGCCTCTGAGGAATTAATTTGTCGGAGGAGTCAGGCAGTTCTGACATCCTGCCAAAACTGTTTTTGCTCGGCTTGTGTCTTGATGTAACATTTGACCTCGAGCATGGAAAGACTGACAAAATTCCCATGATGCTCCAGTTGGGCCAATCCAAGTTATTCTCTGAAAGGTGGAAACTTGGGTTACATTTTGTTTGAAGGGATAGTAGATGCAATAGAACTTTCAAGTTACATAGTATATAATATAGAATTCTATATACATTGTATGTGTGTAAACATGGTGGGTTCTCCTGAACATGTAGTACTTTAATATTCTTTTGAAATAATTTTTAGGAATCAAGATTATCTTGCACTTATTTTTACTGCTTAAGCCTATTTGTTCAATAATATGCATGGTATGCAATTTGAAAAGGCAGAACTCTTTCTATATATGCACATCATACCTGGATATGTATGATTCAATTCAATCCTCTACCAGTTAGATACTGTTGAAGGCTAGAGGCTATCTCTATTGTCACACATCTACATGTGTGTAGTATACATTTCCAGTGTTCCTTACCAAATAATTCCAGGCTGTCAGAAGGGAGATCAGATTTACCGAGTGGATGGTTCTGTTGCAGCAGGCAGGCCATCTCATCTTGTCGCAAAACAGTCAACCACCAGCTTAATGAAATTCAGGCCTGGAAGCACTCGTGTGAAACACACCGGCGCTCGCTCCAATCTCAACAGCTCCCCGCGTAGCAATCGAGCGGCATTGTGAACGTCAGGACTGTTAGGAGAGCTGCGGCGCTGATGCCACTCGTCAAGTTTGCGTGAAAGCGGGAGGTCAGGTCCCACGAGGAGATAGCAGCTTTCATGAAAACCCGCGTCCCTCTTATCCAGTTCAAGATGTCCTCTCGGGTCTGTGGTGCCCTGTACGTCTTCCAGAAATGTCTGGGATTTGCGGGGTGGCAACCGGCACAGGTTGGCGGCTTTGTAACTCCAAATGTTCCCGTTAATTTCCCGTACCCTCTGGTGTTATCGTTTTGCTCACCGTGTCTGGTAGAACACCCTTGAGTGAACGTCGTTTGGGCTTGAATTTTGAGCTGCCCATGACTCGCTGCTTTATTTATGAGGCTGGCGTTCCAGTTGGTTTTTCTAATAACATTGGAAATCTCGGCATTTCATTTTACAGTGATTCATTTCGTATTATGCCTAAAGCAGCTCTAGCAGCATGCATGTAATTTCATGGTATTCCTTCTGTTCTATATCAAAGGTGATTGACATTTGTCTTATGATGAGTCATTGATAGATCATTGTCATGTATGATTCAAAGATTGACGTTCTTACAAATTAGAGATTTGGAAGCTAAATTGTAGGAATCATGAGTGTTTGAGGAGGCAGAGACGTTGTTGGACTTAATTGCTCCTTGCTAGCCAGGCTGGATATCTGATCCACAGTGCTGAACGATGTAGCAGGCACTGTCTATAAAAAGTAGCTGATTAAATGTTACGATACCATGGTTGTTGTTGGAAGAGAATCAAATTGGTGTAAACTCCAAATTAAAAGCACTGTTTTTCATTGGTTACTACAATCTAATTAGGTCTCTGTATGTTTTTTTGAATCATGCGATGTATGATACTTGTGGTTTTATCTTGCAAAGCATGTTTCACATTGTAAGAAATCTTTATATAATACAAGATTTAGAGTTGGAATTTGACCTCAGAGTCAGAAATTTGAATTGCTGTCTAAGTTATGGTATGGCTTACCCTAATTTGGTTGTGCCAGCTATGACATCATGTACCTTAGGAATACAGTATCACATTGATATCATTTCATTACAATCATAATACGTGGCAGCTATATACGTTCAAACCAAAATCATCACAGTCGTATGTACAGATTTCTTTGATTGAATTCTGCAAAAATACTCAGCTCGACCAGACAAAGGTATCAGCAGTCAATAGATCTAAAAATGTATGAGCACAGAGGGTGATTTTTCAAAGTTGACACATCTGTGAAATGTACATTACTGGAAGCTGTAATGGCATTCTTGTCACCACGATTTACACACTAGACCCAGTCTGGTGAATCGGAATGCCATCGTGCATAGACAAATGTCGTAATAATGTTCCCAAACCAGTGAACGGGCTGTCACATGCTTGGTTATCTCTTCCAGTGCACAGAAATGAAGGTAATGTATGGAGGGCCGTACGGTGCATCGATTTTTATATAAATCACCTGCTGTAATTCCTTCCAGTATTGTTAACATGGCCACGCTATTTTAACCAAGATTCTATCACCCTTTTACCCTCGTCGCACTGTTTGCATTTCTTAGAAGAAATCGATGTGTTGTAATATATAAACATTGACCTGTAACATGTAATCAGGATCATTGCCTATCATTGCATGAAGTAGCTTTAGATGTACCTAATTATGTCTGATGGTCATTAGAGCTTGTTAGGTACAGGTTTCTTTTTTATGGACAGCTTTAGATGGCTGGGAGTATTGAGTTTGTAAGGTTTGATTTTTCTTTTAAAACAATCTTGTATCTGGTGTTACAGCTGTTATAAAAAAGTCATTAGTATGTAAGATATATCAGCTAATTTTCAGAAGGCTCTGAAGTTTAACATTAAGACCTTGAATTTGAATTAGAAAACTGAAGGAAGAACTATGATTAGAGTTCCTGCTCATGATTTTTGAGATTTCTCCAGTGTCACTGACAAAAGGTAGTGGGTGTTACCTGAAATATCTGACCGTTTCCAAAATCATATCCAGTTGCTTGAGTAGCTGTTTTTTGGCATATCTTATTACCTGGATGTCTAACCTTCACCGATGCAGAAAAAGCATTTTATATTTATTGTTTTAACTATGTACCATGACTTTGGCTTGAAGTGCATTCTTTGTTTTAATAAATCCATTTATTTCAATACCCAAAGAATTGTATTTTTATTAGAATGGCCAAATCCAATTACGGTGTAATAGAATGGAAGATCCTTTAGTGTAATAGAACGGAAAATCCTCCCAGAATCTACTGCCCATCTCCAGTGTCACTGTGTGTTGTAGCCTTGGAAATGTCGCCCACACACAGATAGTAGCTGAGAACAAAGTGATTAGTGCGTGCATTACGTGGGAGTGGGTGGAGAGCAGTGGGAGGGGGATAGGCTTAGGCTTTGATTGAATTTTTCCAATTTTGCTCTCTGAATTCTTTAAAGAAATGTTAGATCTAGTGTTGACTTTATGGTGTCCACTGATGAACCTATATATAAAGGGATGTCTTTAAAATGAAAGTAATTTTGTCAGCAGATTAGGATAAAGTGAAGTAGATTAAAAGTAAGGGGGTGGACTAAAAATGCCTGGCTCCATGTGTAGTTTATTTTCTGCTCAGCATTTGAAAAGACATTTCCTTCCCTACTAACAGTGTTTTCACTACTATCAACCCATACTTTCCCGTCCCTACAAGTTAGGTTTAGTTAGCCATGCATTCAAGTACCAGAGTTATCAACCAAGGATTGAGGTGTTCAAGAATTCATTCTTTCCTAGAACTATCGCAGAGTGGAACTCACTGTCACCAAGTACAGTAGGGGCATTGTCAATAGATAGCTTTAAACAATGTCTAGAGCTAGAAGTTCAAGGGTTAGGTGTAACAGGTCGATCGGTGTAATATAGCCAGCTGCCACCGCGCCGCGTGCCTGCGAAGCTGGTGTGTTACGCCGAAAGGCGGTTATACCGGCTATACAGATACAGATACAGATACAGATAGGTGATATCCTAGTACAAGTCCTGCCCTTCAGAAACCCATTAGTGCATTACGCCCGCTCCAGCTGTGTACACCAATTAGGAACCATTTTACAACCCGGCGTTCAGTTTGGACAAACCGCTGCCGTTCGATTTAAGGCCTCCATTTAGTGGAGTGAAAATTGTGGGGTTTCTAATGTGATATTGTTGGTGAATTATGTAACTGTGTTTTGATAGGGGGCTTGTGTGTGTGTTGGGGGCAGAGTATAAAGGGTTGATTTCCAACTTGAGGTGGCAATAATAAACAGTTATTTTCTCATTGCCCTCAACATGTCATCTTCAAAATTACCATATGAATGATATAGATAGAGGTTTTCATTCAAATCAAATGTTATACAAGGAAGTAATTACATTTTTCTCATATTTTTACATGTAACTTGTTCATAACAAATTCAATATTTCTTGTACTTCTAATTGGTTAAAGCATATAAACTTGAAATAAAGCATAGAAATTGAGAATAATTTTTTTTTTAAAGTAAGATGAATAAGGGTTGTCATAATCTACATTTGTAGAGGTGGTGAAAAATGGAAACATTGCAAATTTTCCATTTTTGGTTCACTGTTGGATGGGGTCTGTCCAGGTGCTGAATTTACTGCTGTTATTGCCTTCCATTGGATTTAATATGTTAATCCTAAGAAAACATCTGAGACCACATTAAATATTTACCTCCTTGCTGTTTGAATGAGTAAAGGAGCATTTCCACATCCCAGTCCACGACAGTGTAGGTAAGTCATGCCTCTTACAGATAAGAGGTGAACTGCAGTGACACATTATACATTGAATGTTTGAGTGAAACTGATGTCATCTTTGTTTCTTTCAGTTTGAAAGTGGCAACTCGGGTCATGAGGTCACGCTTGTCGTGGAAGACTTTGAGGCGACTGGCAGCCAAGAGATCACCGTCTTTAAGGGTCAGACGGTGGAGCTTCTGGACCGTCCCGAGAACAAGCCCGAGTTCTGTCTGGTGCGTACGCTACTGACGGAGAACAGCCCGTCAGCCGAGGGACTAGTCCCAAACAACATCCTCGCCGTGGCTCACTCCCGCAGCAGTCTCAGCATGGACGGTAAGAACTGCTTCTTTAACTAGAAAAGAAACATTTGCAAAGCAAATGATGCATGCTTTTTACCTTCACATGGTCTATCCCAACACACTACTGTTTATTCTCACTCAAGCACATTCAAATATACTAGTATGGTGAGCAGCCCCTCCAGCTCTGTCCTCCTATAAAATGTAACCCAACACTACTACAGTACTAGTACTAGTTGCCATGGTGACAGACCTCTGGTCATGGTCATCGCCTTTAATTGTTTGGAGAAGAAGAAACTCAGCAAAAACATGTGAAGTCATTTAAGTTGTCAAAACAGCTTAGCTTCACACATATGATCAGGTTTTTAGATCTGCAACTCATGACTGAGTCGGTTATAGAAGAAAGACCCACAGCAACAAAACGTAGCCTGATTTCTTCAAACTGTGCTAGTAGACCAATGAAAATATGGCTATTTATTTTGATGGACAGTACTGCAAGTTTGATTGTAGCATTTGAATGTGCAATGTTGAAGTAGCATGTTTGCAGTTTGTGATGAAGTCACTAGATGGCACTACTGAGCATGTGGTGTTGGTTTTCCTGTTAGTTAGGCCATGTTGATTTGATTATATGGATGACATCCGCGCGCGCATGAATTTTCGGCCGTTTCCAAAAAAAAAAAGGTTTTCAACCATACTGTAAATCGTGCAAAACAGTTGCTAAATGAGCAACAATATACCATAAGTTGCAAGGAAAACATTTAGAAACGATACCAGTGTCGTAGAATGCCAAAATCAAAGGAAAAAAGACAAAAATGTAAAGAAATGAATTCGAAGAGTAGATTATTCGCCATAACATATTCTGTGCCATTTGTTCAACCTTCATGACCACGTAGATTTCATAGTGAAAGCAACTTTTTTTTTTTGCAAAACTTTTTTTTTATTCGCACGCGCACATCAGTTTTGGGGTTCCCAGAGGATGTCATCCATATAATCAAATCAACATGGCCTTATTGATATATAGACAAGAAGGGTAGCATGCAAAGTGGAACATTTAGTATGTTTACTGAGGCATATCTCATACCTTTTTGGATGGGCTGGTTTGACTCTGCGTGGGATATGTGAATATGTTTATGAATATCAGTTGATGTTTTACTTGTGCTGGTCAAAAAATATGTCTTAATACAGGTCAAGTTAATGATTGTTTTAAGGATCTTACCATCGATTAGGTGTTGGTTGTTGAACTAGGTGTTGGGGGATGAACTTAGAAAAAGTCAGCAAACATAAAGAGGTCCTGGGTTTTAAGCCTGGTTGTTCTGGGCCGGATGTTTTTTCCTTGCAGAAGTCATTTTCCTCACTCCATCCAGGGGTAAATGTGTAGCTGTCTTCAGTTGGGGAGGTAAAGGCTCTGTATTCCAATACAAACTCACCCTACTGCCTTTACCAGTACTGAAAAATGAAGTTTTATTATCAGGTTTGTAAAAAAGAAAAAAGGAGGACGGCAATGTGTTGAATATATTGTAATGTGGGTTAGGGTTCATCTTACTGGTAATCTGATTAAGCATTTTCTAGAAAATAACTAGGACAGATGAGAAAAGAGGACAAGCCCTTATCATGTCCACCCACTCTCACAGCCAGTGGCCATGCAATAAGTGACCTATGTGTGATTTCATACTTCAAAGACGCGTTTCTTTTCAATTTTCTGTCATGTCGGAAGGTGGTCTTATTAGATTCCTATTAATTTATGATGTCAAATCAAAGGCTTTCCAGGCAAGCTTTTATGCGTCCCACCATTTGTGTGTGGGTGGTAGCTTCCTGCGCGTACAAATGCCTGAGGCAATATATTATTGTTGGGCTGGTCCATTCTCTTGGACTGGAAAGGGGTGTTATCATAATACATGTGCATAATTTGGTGTCTTATACATTGTACCTACCTTAGCCAGGTGAAGGTTAATTCTTCAGAGATTGTAGAAAGGTTATTTGTCCAGAATGATACTTAATACATTTTTCAACAGTGATTTTAGGAAATGTTGAAATGACACAAAAGACTATTGGTTTCATTTTGTGTTCCCAATGCATGTATGTGTGCTAAAAAAAGGTGGGTGTTTCACAATGAAATTATCTTGCTCATGTGGTTTGCCCTCTTATTTCTCGGAACTCTAACTATGCTAATTCCTCAATAAAAATATAACTTCTAGGAAGGAACAGATTTTTCCAGAGGTAGCATTTCCTAGCACTGTTATGTATGGTTAATTATGCAAAGTACTTGTTCATGTAGCTGAACTTTTGATATTCACAATGTTATCACATATGTGGCTAAAAGATTAATTTCCAACATGTTGTTACTGCTGAAAAATATCTTACGACCCCTGAGATTAAAATGGCTGAAGGTCAGTGAAAATGGTCCATTGAAGATCCATATTGCAAGGTTGTCCCAAAGGGCTAATTATCAATGGTAGGGTAATGCCTGGTTACCACCATAATTGCCACCATACATTACAATGTGTTCATGTATGTTGCACTATGCTTTCAGGTATGCAGTAACTATGAGGGAATTGATTATGATATGAAAAATGCATTTTAATGCAAGATGCTTAATCAGAAAAATGTTGATTATATGAAGACATTTTGTAATCTTAAAAGTAGTTTTATTCCCTTCGAATGATTTTTGAATATCCCACCAAATTGATTGAATTCATACATCATAATATTTGTAATTAACTATCAATTCAGACCTAAGATATTATACCATATTTGATTTAAAAAAATGCCAAGCACAAAGTGGAAGACAAGCAAGAGATAAATAGTCAATAACAAATAACTGTGAAGAAATGATAGTAACAGTAACACTACCTTTTGTGCAATACTGTTATCTAGATGTAAGATATCTGAATACAATGTCACATGTAATATAAAGTATAGTACATCTTCTATAGAATGAGTAGGATTTCTTTTTGTCATGTTTGTTTTATAAAATCATTTTTGGTACTTACTGTGATGTAAAAATGTTCTAAATTTGATGTTTTGTGCCACCTGTTGAGATTTTAGGGTATCGAGTAATACGGCTGTTTTCTGCTCCTTAAAAATGTCGTAATGATTTTATCTGGAGGATTTGATTGTAACGAGTCTGATGTAGACATGTTGGCCCTGATCAGCTGAAGTCATTTGCATGCACGAGCCAGTCCCTGCACTACTTGGAAGGGTCCATACCTTTCGCAGGGTTCCTCGTACGTGGACTAATTCTCCTTTTTAATATCACGTTGACGATAAGTTATTGTATCAATAATTATCGTGGTAGTGGTACGCTTGTGGTATGTGTGTAAGGTTTATTCTGGTTTTTAAGAGTTGTGGACGAATTTGCAGTAAAAAAAGATGAAGCATCCCCCCCGCTCATTTGTAAGTGGACCAGTCGATGTTTTCCCCTGCAGCCTTCTTGTATCATCTTTCATCTGACTTGCAGGATTGGGAGCTGTCTGTCCAGCCAGAGTCTTATTTTCTCCTGTCTGGAATATTGCCCCCATCTCGGGGCCGTCTGTATTCAGTCCTTATAACAGTGTTTTGTGCGATGCGCACGTCATGACCAATCCTGCGAGTCGTCGCTCTCCTCTTCCATCGTTTTCTCTCCCAACCGCATGTTGATTCGATCGTCGGTCATCCCCTCGGATGTGGCCTGTTGGTGAGTGGAAGGGTCCACCTCGCCTCTCTCTCTCTTCTGTCCGACCCAAGTGAATCTGTATGCAAATCCACTAGCGTTTCCCTCACCGTGTCACCATGGCTGCTTTGGGCAACCTGAAATTCTATCTGCACTTCCCCTTTATCAGGACACGGGCGCGAAGGAAAGGTAAGCCCTTAATACGGCCGTCTATTCATCCTCCGCCGCGACAGCGCAATTTGCGAGCTTAATCTCGTGTTTATACCATTGCATACTCCTACAGATGCATTGCATTTTACAGCTCTCAGGATTGGAATTCTACCGAGGTTTCCCCCTAAGAGCAACAATTTGTTTATAATCTTTCCTGGGATGGTTGTTTTGCAGGGCGGGTTATTATAGCTGGGATGATTTAATGACGGCGAGGTTTTTCAGGTGGCCTGTTATCTGTGTTTGCTTTTCTATCTGGCCGTGAATCATTGAGGAGGCAGATCTTATTTCAGTTTCTGCGTGTTGTCAGTTTCATGTCATGTTCATGGCTAGAGGAGACATGTGTTGCATGCAGAATGAGGGGGCCGTCTTCGCTCCTTGTCAGAGGCACTTACACTGTTGCATTGCCGGGGTGCTGTAATATCGCCGGGAAATCCAGACGACTGACAATTATATCGCAGCGAACGTACAGAATTGTTTTCATGCAGTTGTTTTAGGCTGAATTGTTGAGACATTTGGTGTATGTCTATGAATAGCAATTTCGTACATTGTAGCAATTGCTAGGAGGCCCAGTGGTATAATCAAATTTCACTCTCCATGGTTTACATGACCCACACATAGGAAAAGGGACACTGCTAATATTTATATTATCTCTAGGATTATCTAAAGAATTAATATGTTACAGGTGCAGTGTTACTAGTATGCAAAAACAAAATGGGGGTGGGGGACTTGAAAATTAATTCCCGCCCACCTTTTGGCTTTAGGCCCTGCTCTTAATTTTAAGACATTGGAATTATAAAAAAGAATAATCAATATTGAAAATATGTTGAAAAGGAGGGAAATATGTAACTCCAATTTGTCAGAAGAAAAATAATTTTCCAGCAATATTAAATCAGGTTGTACAGAGCATCCAAGAATTACATCATTGTCATCCATTACATGACAGCGCACAGTGAAGATATGTAATAGATAAAGGCCTATTCATGTGAACAGAGAAAAATATGTACATATTCATTGGTATGTTCTGTGATAAAATGTTCACACAATCATACCTACATTCACATGCACAGTCACACATTTATAACCAATGACGTGAAATGAGTGCTGCCCAATTAGTTGACACAGTTAAATGATGCATACAGTGATGTTGTAACTGTAATAAATGCTCCTTAGTGGTAGAA